CAATAGGGGAGGGAAGAGAAAGAAAACGGAAGACTTAAAAAAAAAAAATGTGGGAACTAGGTGAGAAAGGGTTATCCAAACAGAAAACACAGTCCGCGCATTCCAGAAGGATCTGTAGTTTGCAGGCCACGTCCCCGGGTCAGGCCTCTTGGCTTTTGGGTTTTCTTTTCCCTGAGTTTTCACATGGCACATACTCCCTTTGGCAGGGGGTGTTCTGGTGGGCTTGGGCTGGGCACTTCCTTCCCTTCCCTTTAAATGCGCAATCTGTCTTTGCTTTAGGACCAGAGCTGGCTTGAATTTCGGCAAGGCTTTAAAGTCGGCAGGGAAGAAGGTGGCCACCCCTGGGAGGGGCTGAAAGGTTTGAATGAGAGAAGCTACAAGAGGCTAGCCACCCGCCCTCCCGAGGACGCCTCTTCAATAGCAGATAGGATTAGCAGCTCCCGGCACTTTGGAGAGAAGCAGTCCCCTCCTCTTCCTACTTCTTACCTGCTCACACAATATTAATTGCCAAGACATTGTCTGGGAGCCGCATGGGGCAAAGAAGAAAGGAGCGGCGGGGTCCGAGGTGGCTCTGGGCAGAGGAACTTAAGTAAGGGATGCTTCAGAATTGGCCGCTGAAATAAATGCCTAAAGCTCAGAGCGGTGACAAAAGAATGTTACCAAGGGTGTGGCCAGTACAGGCTTTCCCTCCTCGCCGATGCCGGCTGTCCTCCCTGGAGACTTGGGGGCAGAGGGCGAGCATTTTAATCGTCTCCTCTCTGATCTTAAAATTAAACCAGCGTTAACCCTTTTCTTCTTGCGCCTGGTAGAGGATGGGGGTGAGAAACCCAGCGAGTCAATTTCTGATGCTACTAGTGTAATCTGTGACTATGAAGAAGTCCGGATGGCCAACGACTCTCTGGGTCACTGTGAAGAGGGATCGCCACCTTCAGTCAAGCCACCTGGCCCTGAGCCCGCAGCCCTCCCGGCTGGGCACCATCAACTTTCCTATGCCACCCCACCCCCTTTGACTTCTGGCCTTGCTAGCCTTCTGCGTGGGAGAAGTTTCATCTCAGAGCAGATTCCCCCCCCCCCCCAAATTCCAACAGCGGGGTGTGCTGAAAAAGCCCTGGCCCAACCCAGACTCTTGTCACCCACAGTGACCCTGGGCAGATCATTGCTCATCTTTGAACCTCATTTCCCAGTCTTTGAAACCCAGACTATGGTCCCAGGCCACGCCCACGTCACCGGGATGCTTAGAAAATCAAAAGCGAGCGAGAAAGCCCCAGGGCTTTGTAAACTGTAAACACACAGAGGCTTTAAAAATTCTAATGGGCCTGAAGCAGTTACTGTGGTTCACAGATGGGGCACGAGCATTGCGAAGCGATCGGACCCGGCCTCAGTGGTATCTCCAGGTGAAAGGCAGATGGCAAGTGCCCCAAGAGAAACAAGTAAACTTCAGTCAGGTAGATGTGTTTGTAAACGGGATACCGGAGATGGAAGCCTCCCTTGTGTCCTTCAGGAGTCTCCGCAGCTTGGGAGGACGCTCACGCAGCGCGCAGCCGTGACCTCTCGAACCAGGACAGCGCATCGGCACTCGAGGGTCCCTCTGGTCCAGGCCAGCTGTCCCCGCTCTGCGCAGGATAGTCCCAAGGCGGCTGCAAGCGCGCCCTGCACGTGGCAGGGGTCTGGCCAGCGCAAGTGCCAATCCTCAAGCAGCCCCCCGCTGCTCTCCTCCCGCCCCGCCTCCTTGCCCCCCTCTCCAGCTTCACTCGGCGGGGAAAATCCAGTTCGCAGCTGGAGAGCTGTGGCTGAACCACTCCGGAAGATAAGGCCGAGCGCGCCCATCCCGGACTCCGCGCGGCTGGCCTCTGGCCCGCGGGAGGAGGGCATGCTGGCATGGCAGGACGGCGGGGCCAAGGCGGCCCCTTCTCACCACAAGATCTCCTTTTCGGTCCTGGACATCTTGGATCCGCAGAAATTCACGCGAGCTGCGCTCCCGCCGGTGCGTCTCGCTGCCCTGGAAGCCAAGAAAAGTTTAGAGGAGGTAGAAGCAGGGGAGGACGCCAGCCCGGGGGATCCTATCGGCTCGCAGGAGACACCTGGTAAGAACGCGAGGCGGTTTCAGCCGAGATGGTATCCGTGTGAATGTGTGGAGCAACCAAGGTCTGGTGAAAGGCTGTTTGTGGCCTGGGAACGAGAGAAGGCGCGCCCGCTCAGGTGCGAAGTGAAGCCATCCTCCTCGGAGAAGGGTAGAAGCAGGGACGTGGCTGAGATAGACTCCAGGGCAGGTGCGTGCCTCTTTCCTGAACACCTGCTCGGTGGATGAGCTCCACAGCTCTGGCTGGCTCCCTAAGAAAGCACAGTTCAGGCTCACTGAGCTAACGGAAGTGTATTACGCTCTCCACGTGCCAGAAGCTGGGCGAGGAGCTGGGATAAGGGTTATGAAAACGCCTTCCAAGCATATAGTGTCATTAACTCCACTCCCGTTTTATGCACGGGACAACCGAGGCCAGAGCTTTCCCTAGATTAGGTGCTTATTTTCAATCAATCGGAAACGCTCGCAGGGCCCAGACCATCATCACCTTTCCCGGACCCCAACAGGGGACTCGGGGTGGGCAGACAGGAAGCTTTTGGTGCTCTCTCTTCTAGACTCTTTCACCTTATCCCTGAAGCTGGTGGACATTGGAAGAAGGATTCGGAAAAGTTTTTGGCTGGAAGGACTTAAGACAGGATTCACGCCGAGTGGGACGTGGGCACGGGATTACTTAGGGGAGGCACCGAAGGTCTAGGTGCTTAGGTCGTGCGGGAGGTTGGATGCAGCCCGGTGTCCTGCTCCTCCGTTGGCAGTGATTGTCTGGGGCCCCGGAAGCCTCTGGTGGCCTGGCTTGGGTCCCGGCCGCGGGCCTGGATTAATTGTCCGGATGGTCTCTCTGTGGGGCCGCGTTCCCCTCCCCCTAACTCCTTGATCGATATTCTATTACTGGCGCCTGCATATCTCCTGCCCACAGCTTGCAGGTACTGACTTCAAACCCCCTTTCCCTGTCTGATCCTAATATTGTTCGATTAAAACTTACCTTTAATAGATGACATCTATCGATCAGGCCCCGGACAAATCTGAAACTCTATTAACACGGCCGGAGAGAGAAGATGGGAAAGGGGGAAATACTCTTTTTTGGGGTGGGGGAGGGGAGCTTAATAACTTCTTTTTTAATTGCTAGGAGTTGCACACTAAAATAGGCTTCTGTGGACTGGGGAGATTCAATAATAAACGTACTTGACATTCCCATATCGTAATGCACAGCGGACTCCTCTCTTTCCTTGATAAAGTCGCTATACTTTCTTGAAATGGGTGCTAACCAACATGTACGTCCTGGGTGCCTAGTTAACGGCAGATTTCTAAAGAGGATGTGGTGTTCCTGAATCCGCCCTCTAGGGTGTGCGGACTAGGGAAGGAAGAGAGCAAAGTGGGGAGTGGGGAGGAACTGGGAGTTGGATCAAGGGCAAAGCTGAGAACCAGAAGGTTTGGGGATGCGGCTGGGTAGAGATGTTACGGGCTTCTAGTCACCACCCCCTTTCTCTCTTAGACGCCCCGGGCCGAGGGACTGCACCCCCGTCCCCCCTGGAAGGTTCCGAGGCGGAAGAGGAGGAGGAAGCAGAGGAGGCCGGGCAGGCGCAGCGGCGGGAGCGGCCGGAGCACTGGCAGGGGGTCCATGCGGGCTTTCCGGAGGCCCGGGCTGGGGCGGCGGGAGCAGAGGAGAGCGGCGCTGACGGCCTCCCGGCGTCCCCGGACTCTCCCGGCTCCCCGCGGCCCCGGCGCCGGCGAGCGGAGCCCAGCTGCGCCAAACCTCGGCGCGCGCGCACCGCCTTCACCTACGAGCAGCTGGTGGCCCTGGAGAACAAGTTCCGAGCCACGCGCTACCTGTCGGTGTGCGAACGTCTGAACCTGGCCTTGTCGCTCAGCCTCACGGAGACGCAGGTTAAAATCTGGTTCCAGAACCGCAGGACCAAGTGGAAGAAGCAGAACCCCGGGGCCGACGGCGCGGTGCAGGCGGGAGGCGGTGCGCCGCAGCCTGGGACACCCGGCGCGGTGGCGGGGCCCTGCGGCAGTGGCACCGGGAGCAGTCCTGGCCCACCGGTTCCTGGCGCTCTGCCCTTCCAGACTTTCCCCACCTATCCTTCGACCAACGTCCTCTTCCCCGCCACCTCCTTCCCGCTGACGACCGCCACCAGCGGGAGTCCCTTCCCTCCTTTCCTTGGGCCCTCCTACTTGACCCCTTTCTATGCCCCACACCTATGAATCCGGGACTGCGGCTCAGTCGGGATTCACGAGTGACCAGTATGGTGGTTTGGGCCATCGCTTCACCGAGGGGTACCGACCGCCCCCTCCTGGTGTGCTGGTGTCTGTGTGCCCCTTCCCTCCAGCTGCTGCTGACACCACCAGAGGGCGAGAAGAAGCCATCTGCTGGACTGCGACCACACAGGGATGAGAAAGTGTTCAGACCAGGACTTAAAATCTTCCAGCTTCTGGACGTCGCTCTTCATTTTCATTCACTTCGAAAGCTCTATTTTTTAACGTGTCTGGGTATTCAGTTTCCAGGCTAATAAGGGTTCCCGGGATGGAGATCAGAGGGAGCCAAGATGCCCTGGGCACCAGTTGCTGTCACCAAGGACCGAATCTTTAAAAGTTGCAGTACATACAGAGAGGAAGACCTTTCTTCCTCGCGGTGAAATTGGCTCAACACAGTACTTCTCCCAAATCCCGAACAGAGCTGGAGCACGCTGGACCCAAAGCAGATGCGGCTATCTATCGAGCGGACTGTTTCCAAGATGCGTAACTCAGCATTTCTAGCTCTTGAGATTCAGACCTGAGACAGTTACTGACACTAACAGACTTGTTCTTCAGAAAGTGACTACCTTACTTTCTGTGAGCAGACTCCACGTGTGCCCGGAAGCTGTTCAGCGTTGTGCCTAGACTGCCCGGGATGAGACATTAACTGTTGCCTCGCAGGTTTGGAGAGCAGCTTGGACAGACCACAGCAGCGCCCTAACAGTTAAAGAGAGCGATGACCCAAAGGATGTCCTGAAGTCTGTGTTGAGCTGTTGCGATGTGCGGTGCTTGGCGTTCATCTCTCCGTCTTACTGCACCTTCATGGACTCCCAATCTGACCCGCTGGGGCAAAGCAAGCTCCAGCAGCAGGCACTGCAGTCAGACATGTGACTATATTTTTTGAAAGCACAAACATAACGTATTTAGATTACCTGAAATTCTGACTTGAAAACAGTTCTTATTCTAAGTAGACTCCCCCCCCCCCCCCACACACACATGATGGTGAACAAGCAAAAGTCGTAAGGGACTGGGAAAGAAATACTAACCAAGTGTAAAGAGCTGTTGTGGAGCCAAAACCTAGTTGGGAATGGTCTCAAGGACACGTACGTTCTAACTGATGCTTTCTGTCTGTTAAAACAAAGCCAAGGTACTCTGTAAAGTCCCCTTACCATTTTTGTTTGAAATGCTCACTAGTTTTCTGTGTTACTTGGTCTTGCAGTCACACCTTAGAGGGCCAGATGACCCCATGTATTCTATTTCGTGTTTCATCCTTCCTTTCTTAATGGCTTGAGGGCAGCCAGCGCTACATGAATACTGTATTCCTTACCGTTATCCCATGGCAGCCTGTTCCATTAAAATTTAAACTTAATGATCAACAGCTTTAAGTTAAACATACACACTGGAATTATGAACATTATAATTTTGAAATAATCAGCTTTATTATGATGATGAACGATAGGAAATGCCCTTCCTTTCTCCCAACTTAAAGGGAGATTTCATGTACTGGGTCTCTAAGATTTGGGAGTATGAACTACTTCATTGTGTAGCTGATAATTAAGACTCTCTTCTTTCTGTTCTGAAAGATAACGTCTCCAAACACTGCACTGTAACTTCTCAAAGGACGGTTGGTGCCAAACGAGATTAGAAATGAAGCTGCTACCGCAGGGAGCACAGTTTTATTCACTGTACATGCTGACAAACACTCCTTCAGTGACTGTTCTCAGCAGCAGCGTTCCATGTCTGCGAGCAGATAACAAAGGAGTCAGGTTTCTGTACTAAGTGGGAACCTTGTCACTCCAGCCCCAGGCGCCAGAGTCACAGGCTTCAGTGGCAGAGGAGACCCTCCCTCATTCCACACGTTGTCAGAGAGGGGTACCAGAAGTGTGTGACTTTGGACTCCTGCTTTAAAGGACCCGGTGACATTCCCATGAACTCCTTAGACTCATTTCTAGACTCATGTGTTGGCCAAATAAATTCCTTTGTAATCATTTTTGATTAATTATTCCTTGCTCGTTATTAACAAAACTTTTAAATAGTTTTATAATCATCATGGGATGTGTGTCTGTGTGTCTGTGTGTGTGTGTGTGTGTGCCTGCCCCACTTCTCCCAGCAGCTAGTGCTCACGTTTCTACAGACACATTCAGGGCTGTTCTAGCAAAAGTAATGCTCTTTGAAAATTTTAAATTTCTGGTCTACTGACTTAATTAACATTTACCCGTCCGGTTTCCAGGACATTAGTGTTCCAGCCTTACTTCACAAGTTCTTAATATTCTACTCCCAACCCAAGAGCGTGGCAGACACCTTTTTAAAAGTCGAACCGTTGATTGGCCATGGATTTTTATGGGTAAAAGTGACAGTTTTTTATTCTCTCTTGAAACCATGTATCCAGAGAGCCTCTTTAAGGGAATGAATAGGGAATATTTCTCATGTTAAGAGAATACTGGTCCATTTGACAAGTACAGATAAATTTTTTATTTTATTTTATTTATTTATTTAGCCTTTTCTAAGGAGGGGATGAAATAAGAGTTTCACTATTGCCTGTCAAGGAGCTCACTGTGCAAACCAGCCTGGCCTAGGATTCATGATGGTTCTCAAGTTATATATCAGAGCTTTTTTAGGAATAACATCAGCCAGGCTTGGTGGCATATACCTGTAATTCTATCACCTGGGAGGCTGAAATAGGAGGAGCACCATGAGAGTTCACATTTAGGCTGGGTTGTTTCAGGCCATCTTAGGCTACAGAGTTAAATCTATCCTTAAAACAAACCTAACAACAACAACAAAAACCCTCTCAACTGCCTACCATTTACTACTGCTGGGAGAAAAACATAAGAACCACAGTAAGTGCTGGATACACTTCAGAGGACATTACATAGTCTGTTATACACAATGAGAAACACAGCTCCTCAGAATCAAGGAAAGCTTGAAGGTGCCAAAGGTAGACAGCCTAGAAGACACACCTTCCTGGTTCCCGCAGACTGGTTCACTAGGATCTCAGTGGAGGTGGGAAAGCACAGTTTAAATCATGGCCTCTGACCTCAGACAGGCTGGACTTGAGGCTACCCAGTCCTCCGTGGAAACATGACTTTGGTAAATTGGTGCCTGTGCCTCAGTTTCCTCAGTATAACATCTATCACAGAAGGTGATAGAGGGAACCTTTGAAAATTTATATGGGAAGCACTTAACTTACTATTTGGTAGAAAGATGTCATTCTAGCTGAAAAAGACTTGAAAAAGTGTTGGACCTGCGGAAAGGGATGTGGCTCAGTGGTTAGAGAGGTTGCCCAGTAGATGAGAGGATCAGGGTTCAATCCTTAGCACTTATACCCCTAATTCCACCATTTATTTACAAAATATTTACTTATTTACTTTGTTGCATAATGAACATCAGGAAAGTGAATATAGCAGATATGTATGAAGTACTTGAAAAAAAAGATTTGTTTTTATTTTGTGTGTATGAATGTTTGAAGTGTCTATGAACCAACAAGGGTTACATGCCCATAGAGGCCAGAAGAGGGCATCAGAACTCTCAGAACTGTGGTATCAGACAGTAGTGAGCTGCCATTTGGTGCTGGGAATCAAACCCAGGTCCTCTGGAAGAGCAGCAAGTGTTCTTCACGGTTGAACCATCTCTACAGCCCACTACCACCTCTTCCTCTCAACAGAGTCTCATGTAGTCTGTGATGGCCTTGAACAAGCTATGTATGCAAGAACGACTTTGAGTTTCTTTTCATTACAAAGCAAGACTCACACAGTTAGTATTCTATTTGAGTGTGCCTGGCCTGGCTTCTTTTTGCTCAACGTTTTTTAGTGTCCTCCATGTTGCTTTGGGTAGCTATAGATTATTCCCTTTTATAAGTGTTGGTGATTTTTTTCATAGATTAAATGCTTCGACTGACTTACCCATTCTACCATTACTAGGAAATTGCAAACTTTCCAATTTGAGGCTGTCTTCGACCTCTCCTTTGATACCTGTAACTTCCTGTTCCCTGTGGTGATGCATCTAAGGGCAGGGTCCCTGTGTATCTGTGTAAAGTCTAGATTTAGTAGAGATCACCAGTCTCCCCGTGTGGGTGACACAAGTTTCATTTCTACCTGCAGGGACTGAGGACTCCCGTGCTCATCATCCACACATCACTTCATTGTTTGGAGTGTTGGCTATTGACCTAGAGTCTCATGCACACTAGACAAACTGAGCCACAGTTCTGTGCTCCTCCCAGCACTCCCGGATTGCCTTTTTTTTATTTTTTTTATTTTTTATTCAACTGATTTTGTTAGGTAAGGACAGTGCCTTGTTTGGTTTTAATTTTCATTTCCTGGAGAGAAATGACTGCAGATGCCTTTGGGCCATCTGTGTATCTGTTTTGGTGAAGTGCCTGGTCAAGTCCTTAACTGATTACTCCCTCCCCCACTATTAATAAAACAAACCGAGTCTTTGACAGGAGGTGACTTGTCCAAGGTTGCACTGCTGGTAGAAGAAGATTGAAGGTGGGCCTGACAATTCTAGGGTGGTTTAAACTATGCACGGCCTGCCAGTCATGTGAGGTGTTTGATTAAAGTCCAGTAGAGAGCCTGCCTAGCATGCGCAGGGCCCTAGGTTTAATACTCAGTACAGGGAAACAAACCGTAGTTAAAATACTTTTAAGTAACTTGAGAGCTGTGTGGTACTCTAACGCTAAGGTAGTGTCAGTGTGGAATGAAAGGGTGTCTGTCCCATTGCCCTTGCCCTGTCCTAAGTTAACGCCTTGGTTGTCTTTGTGTGGAGCCTCAGTCTGGGCTCATTTCGCTTTCCCACCAGCAATGTGTGAGGGGTCTGGGTTCCTCTCATGCTGGCAAACCTCACTGTGTTCTCTTTATCTTGTAGTTTCCTTTGTCTTTCCTAATGCTAGAATTTGGATCTTGAATGTCCCCATAAGCTATGTGCTGGAGGAATGGCTCAGATGTTAAGAGTGCTTTTGCTGACTGCTCTTCCAGAGGTCCTGAGTTCAATCCCCAGCAACGACATGGTGACTTATAACTGTCTATAATGAGATCTGGTGCCCTATTCTGGCAGAATTATATATATATTTTTTCACAAGTATGTGTAAATATATATACACACATATATGCATATCTACATACATATAT